GTATATTTTTAAACTCCATTTGTATTGTGTAATAAACTTGATGTTTATTTTAAAACAATTTGTTAATTACATAATATCTTTTTTGTGATCAAATATCTTATTACATATAGTATTAGTATTTATATTCAATGTTGAAATGTGAGAATGCATGATATATGTATATTTTGTAGGATTATTGTGTGGTAGAATAATTGATAGAGGTTTTTTTTGTATAGGTTTCTGAAGGATTTACGACGGCTTATCTGTCGGTAACGACATTACGATGAATTGCTATAATGTTTTAGGAGGAATAGTTTAGCCAGAAATTTCAACGGTTACTCCTTCGGTAAGGTCCGCCGATTAACTCGGCAAAAAAAACTGGCAGCTTGACCACCGATAATTCATAAGGCTTTATTCTGCAGGAAATGTGGGTAGAAAACTCGCTAGAAATAATGACATTGAAACATCATTTTTGGGACTACATTTTCGTCAGAACCCCATCTGTAAATCAAGCAAAAATATTTATGACGGACTCATTTCCATCAGAAACATATTTCCGATGTGCATTTTAAGGTCGACCCATTTTTCATCAGAAATCCACCAAAAAGTCTATTTTTGGTGGATAACATTCATTTTTAATGGATTTTGATCGCCAAAAATATAAGTTTTTCATGTAGTGCATGCTTAGTAATCAGACTCATGTGCTCAATAACACTAAAGCATTATAGTAGTAGAAATACGCATTAATAATAATATGCATTTCAATAATCACAATAAACAAGTAATGAGTTCTAGCCTTCTTAGTACTTTAAGTAATCAATAAATTAGTAATTGTTAACTCAGTAAGTAGAGTCATCACTTTTTGTATGTTGGCACGGTAATAATATCCTTATAACTCTTAATCAATAAATTCTGTGGATAACACCAAATTATAGTATTTAAAGAAACTCGTCAATCCACCTCCTACATAGGTCAGAGAGTACTCTACAGCCAACGTCAGTAAATAACCAACTTTTATTTATTTTCACACATATTACTATAAAAGTAAAAGCAACCAGCTATTACCCAATCACATATCCATAATCATTAATAATGCTTGTATTAACAATATGCTTATATTAAAATATCAAAACTACTATTTTGTGCAAATAGTACAAATCATAAAATTTCAAAATTAACCAATCAAAATGTCTAAAATAATTAATATTATGATATAAAAAGGTTATGCAGTAGAAGTTCACTAAATACATAGAAAATATAATAAAATTATTTTGGGAGAAATCAAATAGTCAAAATCAAAATCTTTGAAAACATAAATTAGTTAAAAGTCACCTACAATGACTTGAGCAGTTTTTGTAAAAGTGATGATAAAAATGGATTGACAACCAAAATCTTGATTTCTCTCTCCTCTCTCCTCATTCCTTCTCCTACTTCTTGGTTCCATGGCAAGCCATTGCTAAGGGGGTGAGGGAGGCGAGTAAAGAGAAGAATATATATATATATACTCATTTTAGTGCGTGACACCACAATGCCCAAGAGACCCAGCGCCACTGTGTTGCATGTTGAATCAAGAATTATTGTATAACATGCCATTCAATATCAGGCAGCAATTTCTGGCAACACTGTGCTCAAAGGCTCGGTGTCATTGAGCCCACAGACATAGCGCTGCAACACTCCAGTTCAGACAGAAATTCACATTCTTATTTTAAATTTATTTTAATAATTATCAAGTTATTATTATTAAGCTGTTACATTTACACCCCTAGCTAATACTGATCAATTAAAATGCATATGTGTCTCCTAATTATGATTGGATGAGGAGATTTGAATATAAATATTATAAAGCTTCATCTAGGCCAACCACATTGTATCGATCCTCATGTTGAAGAAAAAAAAATCATTGATGTCAAAGTTGAGCATGAAAGAAATGAAAAACATAGAACTATTGTGTTGCAAAATTAGAAGGATAAATAGATAAAGGAATTTGGAATAATTTGTATTTATGATTGTTGCGTCCAGGAGTATTCGCGGTGGTAGAGAAATATAAAATTTAACGTCTTAGCGTTGTACGAAAATCCGGCACGCAATCAGATAAAGAGAGGGTCTAGCATTTATAAGACACCAAGATTTTTACGTGGAAAACCCCTGAAAAAGGGGGAAAAAACCACGAGGCCTAGCCCAATTTGAATGAATCCACTAGTATTGCAGTCGATTACAAATGAGGCCATTCTTTGGGAGAAGGCCTTAGCTTGATGTACATTTTATAGAGTACAGTACATGATATGAATACAAAGAATCACTATTGACATGTTTGTTTGGTTGGGAGGACCGTAGTCGGCGGGCGACGGAGGTCGGAAGGCTTGTAGTCGGTGGGCGACATAAGTCAGGAGGACCGTAGTCGGCTGGCGACGGAGGTCGGAAGGACTGTAGTCGGCGGGCAATGTAAGTCAGGAGGACCGTAGTCGGTGGGCGATAGAGGTCGGAAAGACTGTAGTTGGAGGGCGACGTAAGTGAGGAGGACCGTAGTCGGCGGACGATAGAGGTCAGAAAGACTGTAGTCGGCGGGCGACATAAGTCAGGAGGACCGTAGTTGGTGGGCGACAGAGGTCGGAAAGACTGTAGTTGGCGGGCTACATAAGTCAAGAGAACTGTAGTCGGCTGGCGACGGAGGTTGAAAGGACCGTTGTCGGTGGGCGACGGAGATCGGGAGGATCGTTGTCTTGCGATGAAGGCTGGAAGGACTGTGTCTGACAATGAAGGTCAGAAGGACGGCATCAGGTAGAAGTCTAACAATGTGTAGAAATCCATCTTCAAATAAACGTCCAGCCAAAGTCCGATAACTGGTAGAAGTCCGGTGTCGGGTAGAAACTTGGCGAAGAGTGAGGTCCGATGTCGGGTAGAAGTCCGACGTCTGTTGGTGGACGAGCATAACTCCGGCATCATTTTGGCGGAGTTTCTACATCAGGAGGGAACTCTGCCGTTAATTGGGAAGAACTTCGGCATCACGTGAAAGTTGGGCAGAATTCCGGCGTTCTCCCGAATATCACGCAGAATCCCGGCGTGTTCGGGTGGTGGGAAGAACTCCGATGGTGGTCGAGGAGGAGTTGATTCTCCTTCCCCTTCTCTTCTTCTTTACTTCTTCTTCTTCGGTCCCCCTTCTCTTGAGAAATGATGACTCTATTTATAGATTTTTTGGAGTGGCATAGCTCGTCATCAATAGGCATGAGATCAGGGGCGAATAGGGAGTGGTCGAATGAACGGCCGATATCAAACCCTTCGATTATGCACCGTGCATTGGACATTTGAAGGTTTTAGTGATGTCGGAATTAGGCGATCTTGGGCTCGTTGGATTCGTCTCATCGAGCCATTCGATTCAAGTATAAGCTCGTTAAAATCAGAGATCGTTTGGTAACTCAAATTGTGGTTTGAACCTTCCAACAACGCTTCGGGTCCTTGATTTGGACCCATTTGGGCTCGGATTGGGTTGAATTTGGTGTCGTTGAGTTCTTATTTCCGAGACGCTCAATTTGACTATAAGCTCGCTGAAATCGGAGGGAGTTCAGGCGCTTTCGGATTTAATTTTTGAAGTTTCCGGGTTGGGTTCTGCATCGAGATTCGTGCCAGTCAAGATAATTTCATTATAACGCATCAATGATCAATTCATTAAAAACGTATTTTGAATCACTTATTAGTTGAAGATTTTGTATTTATAAGATGACTAAAAGCTAACTGCAAACTAATTGAAAAAATAAATAAATATTATCTTAATGTAACATAATATAAAGAATTTGAATTCTTTTTTCTTAGAGTAAATGATTATGTTGATCACATGGATGTCAATAAATGATCTGTCATAATAACCCACCTTACAAATACCAGTTTATATTGACCCGACTATTATTCAAGTCAAATCTGAGTGCCTGAAAACATGACCCAATTAATTTCCTTATCGAATTCGGATTGACCTAAAAAATTGAAATTGATTCGATTATAATTTAAATTTGTATTAATCGGGTCATTTTTAGGTCAAATATGTCATATTCAGGTCAAATAGATCATGTTAATCTAAGAAATTATAGTATATGTACAATAAATGGGTGAAATGGATCGGACTCAAATTATATATGAACTCGTATCGAGTCAAGTTCAAATTTGATTAAATCCGAATCAAATCAAAATCTAACCATCAATTTGGATCTGACACCCTTAATTAATAATAAAAACAATTTAGTGTTTAAGAGTGTGAAAATACAAACCCCACACAAAGAAAAGTACAAAGTTCAAAACATCTATCCGGACCCCCCCTCAATCATTCATCTTTCCTCTTCCATTTGCCAAAAATATATTCCTCCTCATCAGTTTCCCCTCCCTTCATCAATAAAGAGAACAATAATCACTTTTATCTCTTCTCCATCAAGCTCATGATAGAAGCATTTATTCATTGAAAAAAAAAATCTATCTCAATTTATGATAAAAAATTTATTTAAAGCATAAAAAAACTTTTAGTACTTTAAAAAGAATTTTTTTAAGATTTTATAATATAATAATCAATTTAATATGAAAGTTTTCATGACATAGTAATTGAAGTAAGATATTTCTTTAACGTTATAAATTCAAATTACTTATTTATTTATTGCTCATTATTTAAAATATTCTTATAAATGTTCCAATTCTTTTTAAAATTTAATATTATTTTGTTATAAAACAAATGAAAATTATATTGCATCTTGAAAAATGATTTTTATTTTAAATATCAATGACTTTTGTAAAAAAAGTTGATTCCATTACATTCTAAATTATGCCAACAATCTAAAGTTTTAATTATTTATTTATTAAATAATAATATCTAAAAAACGTTAAAAAATATTAATCATATTAGTTTATTAAAATAAAATATTTCTTTTAATATTTATATTTTTCATGTCATTTAGATACTAAATTATTATAAATAGTAATTAAATTTATATCTAAAGCACCTGCATAAATATATATTAGTCGGCCAAAATTTCAATTAATTTCCTCACTATTTAACGGCCATATATATACACACGCCTCTGTTTCCCCACCCTACTCATCTTTCTTCTTCCTCTGCTCCCTCAACTCGTCTTCTTCCTCATCCCCAACTTCACCAAACCAAACAGCCATGAAAGAGCTCATACGTTGCTTCATCTCCTGCATCCTCCCTTGCGGCGCTCTCGACGTAATCCGAATCGTCCACTCCAACGGCCGTGTCGAAGAGATCAGCGGCCGCTCAGTCATCTTCGCCGCCGACATAATCAAAGCTTATCCTAATCACGTTCTCCGAAAGCCTCCGTCTCCGTCAAACTCCGCGGACGTCTACGACTGCTCCTCAGCACCCCGCCGGGCAGTAACGTTGTCACCCACCGCCGAGCTGAAACGCGGGAAGATATACTTTCTGACTCCGGTGTCAGGGGAGAAGGCGGCGGCGAGGGAGGGAGGGGCGAAGAGGCGAAGGAAAAGGGAGAGGAATTCGGCAGAGAAGGTGGCCGTGGTGGAGAGGGAGAGGAGGAAGGGAAAGGCGGCGGTTTGGAGGCCGAGGCTTGAGAGTATCTCCGAGCTCTGTACTGATCTGTAGATGTACAGTTTAGTTCTGTTTCTTCTTATTTTCTTAAAAAAAATGTCAGGCTGTAATTTTGTTTTGGGATTAGTGTTTTTGGGTAATATAATATATATAGCAATAATTTTAATATAAATTTTTAAAAAAATTAAGCTTATTTTGATAAATTGGACTAATTTTCACTCTTACACAGCAAGACAACATGGTAATAGAATGTTGTACATTTATCACTATTCAAATAGTTTTAAGCTTGATATATCATAAAAAATTAATCATGATTGGGCTTGAATCTCGAGGAAAAATTAAGTTGGAAAATTTTGAAATTAAATATGGGGTCATCCTAGCTCCGATTTCAATAAACATATAGTCGAACTAAACATCTTGAAAAGATGAACCTAAATACACCAATTAGGCCCAATCTGAGCCCAAATGAGTCAAAATCAAATACTCCAGCACAATTGGAAGTTTCAAACCATAAAATGGATGACCAAACTGTTTCTAAATGTGATATGTTTATAGTTAAATTGACGGCTCAACGAGATGAATCCAACGACACCAAGATCACTGAATTCTAATATTATTAAGACACTCAAATACTTGATAAATGGTCCACGATCAAAGGAGTCAATAGCAGTCGTCCATTCAAAACACTCCCAGTATGCCCTTGATCTTCTCATTATTTACTGGTCATGTCACTTCCAAAAAATTATAAATAGACCTCTCATTCTTCATTGAAGGGGAGCCCAAGAAAAGAAGAGAAGAAAGAGAGAGAAATCAGAATTCTCTTGCCACCAGATTCCCCCTACTTAGCCACCGCCCGACCACCGACCATCTTCGGACTTCTGTCGAACCATAGGCTATCGCCGGAATTCCGCACAACCACCAGCTTCCGCCGGACTTCCGCGTGGACACCAACTAACGCTTGATTTCCACTAGTCCACCAAATGCCATTAAACTTCAATTTGATCCCTAGTTGGTTCAAGATTTCAACCTTACAGTTGACTATTGTAGTCTGATCATCCTCAATCTCAAAGATGAACCAATCATTTGTAATATATTCAAACACTAGTAGAATCATTTGAATAGAGCGTGGCCTTATGATTTTTCTTTTTAGGATTTTCCATGAAACTGAAGACATCTAACCTGAGCAATTCAAGCAATACCCCCTCTCCCTCAGTCAAGGATGCATCCCCCATCATATCAAAATAACAAACTCTCTAACATGGTAAACTTTACCCATCCTTCTCATAATAATTGCTCAATTACTTTTGATGACTCTAATTTGGAGGGAATAAAGACCCCTCATTATGATCTACTCATGACTAATGCGAGGATAGGAGACCCATGTTTCAATGTAAAAAGGATTTTAGTGGACAATGGGAGGTCCATGGATGTATTATTCTACTATACTTTCCAAAACATGGATCACGCCAGAGAAAAACTTCAGACCACCGCAGGACTCCTGTATGGATTTGATAATCGACCTGTATGAATATAATGTTTAATTAGTCTCTCAATTATGCTCATAGAATTTTCTCAAGAAGCTACTCACACAATGTAATATATTGTGGCAAAATTAGAGTTAGCTTATAATGTTATATTTGGAATACCCTCCATTTGATTTTTTTGAATAGTAGCCTCCATTATGCATCTCAACTAAAATTTTTTACCTCTACTAGGATCGATATAGTGAGAGCATATAAATAAATAGCATAATCCTACTATCTTAGACAGACACAACCATACAATTCAATCACTTTAAGTATTGAGGACTTCAATCTTCGAAATAAAGATATCCCTCATCGTGGTGGAGAGGGAGAGGAGGAAGGGAAAGGCGGCGGTTTGGAGGCCGAGGCTTGAGAGTATCTCGGAGCTCTGTACTGATCTGTAGATGTACAGTTTCGTTCTGTTTCTTCTTTTTTTCTTAAAAAAAAATGTCAGGCTGTAATTTTGTTTTGGGATTAGTGTTTTTGGGTAATATAATATATATAGCAATAATTTTAATATAAATTTTTTAAAACATTAAGCTTATTTTGATAAATTGGACTATTTTTCACTCTTAGACAGCAAGACAACATGGTAATAGAATGTTGTACATTTATCACTATTCAAATAGTTTTAAGCTTGATATATCATAAAAAATTAATCAGGATTGGGCTTGAAATCTTGAGGCAAAATTAAGTTTGAAAGTTTTGAAATTAAATCTGGGATCATCCTAGCTCCGATTTCAACAAATTTATAGTCGAACTAAACATCTTGAAAAGACGAACCTAAAGACACCAAATTAGACCCAATCTGAGCCCGAATGAGTCAAAATCCAATACTCCAGCACAATTGGGAGTTTCAAACCATAAAATGGATGACCAAACCGTTTCTAAACGTGATATGCTTATAGTTAAATCGACGGCTCATCGAAATGAATCCAACGAGCCTAAGATCACTTAATTATGATATTATTAAGACACTAAAATACTCGATAAACGGTCCACGATCAAAGGAGTCGATATCGACAGTCCATTCAAAACACTCCCAATATGCCCTTGATCTTCTCCTTATTTACTGGTCATGTCACTTCCAAAAAATTATAAATAGACCCCTCATTCTTCATTGAAGGGGGGTCCAAGAAAGGAAGAGAAGAAAGAGGGAGAAATCAGATTTCTCTTGCCACCAGATTCCCCCTACTTAGCCACCGCCCGACCACCGACCATCGTCAGAATATCGTTGGACTCCTGTCGGGCTATCGACTATCGCCGGACTTCTGCACAACAACCAGCTTCCGCCAGACTTCCGCATGGCCACCGATTAACGCTTGATTTCCACCTTCCACTGAATGTCATTAAACTTCAATTTCATCCCTATTTGGTTCAAGGTTTCAACCTTACAGTTGACTACTGCAGTCTGATCATCCTCAATCTCAAAGATGAACCAATCATTTGTAATATATTCAAACACTAGTAGAATCATTTGAATAGTGCTTGGCCCTATGATTTTTCTTTTTAGGATTTTCCATGAAACTGAATACATCCGATCTGAGCAATTCAAGCAATGCCCCCTCTGCCTCAGTCAAGGATGCATCCCCCATCACATCAAAATAACAAACTCTATAACATGGTAAACTTTACCCATCCTTCTCGCATAGGTCGGTAACCCCTCATTCCTCCAGTTGTCACCGAAGACTTGATTCAACCTCACGTTGTTGATCTCCCATAAAATGCTTTATGTCATGAACTACGATGATTAATTCAAGAAGAGTTCCCAATGAGAGGTGGAAGGCCATCTCTTCATAAGTGGAATTTTTAAGAGTCATCATCCCTGACTGAAGCCATCCTTCGACATCCCATTCCGTCGGGGTTTAAATTACCAAGCATAGATTCTTATGATGGGACATCTGATCCTTATAAACATATCAATCACTATAAAACCATCATATGGATCCAGCGAGCCTCAAATGCACTCCTCTGCCAAGTTTTCCAGCTACCCTCAAAGGACAAGCTCAAACATGATTTGATTCGCTTCCTAACAGAACTATTTCAATGTTTGTCAAGTTGGCCAAGATGTTGGTCAAATAATTTATTACTAATCGAATAATTATTAAGGATTCTTCCCACCTCTCTGGGATATGCTAGTATGAAGGAGAATCACTTAAGGAGTAGTTTTAATGATTCTCCACTAAGGCTCAATAAATTCCATGGGTAGATCATGAGTTACTAAAATGAGTTTTTCTTGGAGGCCTCCATCCTAGTCCCTTTTATTCAGCAGCTATGTGAGATATAGTTCATTTATATGCTAATTTAATTCATAGTGTGGAGGCACTGATAAAGACATCAATCTCATAGGAAATAATTCGAGCACACTTTCAGCAAGCGCAAGAATGTGCCTACAATGGATAATTCATCCTCGTACCGAAAGAAACAAGGAAACAGTAATCTGCCTCCTCGATCCCGACTGCCACAATGAGAGCCTCGATAAGATAAAGAATATACGCCACTCAATGATCTCGAGCAAATGTAATAATGGTCATCTGAGATGAAAAATTTTTTTAAGTGGCCTAATCCTTTGAAACTGAATACAAGAAATCAGGAGTAGTGCTGCTAGTTCAATCGCAGTCATTGATACACCATTGAAGCATATAAGCAACTCAAGAATGAAGTTGAGAGACTTATTCAATAAGGTTACCTTCGATGGTTTATTCAAAATCCACCTACCCATAAAGATACTCCTCCTATTAGGGGGAAACCTGCATAAATGAAAATATAGAATAATCTACAAATGGCTACTGAAATTGAAACTATTGCGAGAAGCACCTTGCTTCCAAACCAAATCTTATTTGTAATAGATAAACAACCAATGCCAAAGAAGTTTCATAATTATCGCTCTATTTCTTTTGATGACTCTAATTTGGAGGGAATAGAGACCCCTCATCATGATCTACTCATGATTAATGTGAGGATAGGCGACCCATGCTATAATGTGAAAAGGATTTTAGTGGACAATGGGAGCTCCATGGATGTATTATTCTACTATACTTTCCAAAACATGGGTCACGCCAGAGAAAACTTCAGCCTGCCGCAGGATCCCTATATGCATTTAATAATCGACCTGTATGAATAGAACGTTCAATTAGTCTCTCAATTATACTCGAAGAATTTTCTCAACAAGCTACTCATACAATGTAATTCATTGTGGCAAAATTAGAGTCAGCTTATAATGTTATCTTTGGAATACCCTCCATTTGATTTTTTTTTTTTTTGAATAGTAGCCTCCATTCTGCATCTCAACTAAATTGTTTTACCTCTATTAGGATCTATATGGTGAAAGCATATAAACAAATAGCGTAATCCTACTATCTTAGACAGGCACAACCGCTCCATTTAATCACTTTAAGTATTGAGGACTTTATTCTTCGGAATGAAGATATCCCTTATAGGGCTTTTCTTTTGGAAGACCTCACTTCAGTATCTATATCAGATGAGTATCCTTCAAGAACTATGTAGATTAGATCTCTTCTCTTAGACTAAGAGAAGAAAAAGTATATATATTTTTCTACATAAAAATCAAGACATTTTTGTGTGGAGTCTAGTCGACATGAATGGAATTGATCATGAAGTAATCGTGCCCTCACTTAAAGTAAACCCAACATGCAAGACTGTTATTCAAAAGAAAAGAAACTTTACACCAGATCGATAGCATGCAATTGAGCATGAGGTTGATAAACTCTTGGAAGCTAGCTTTATATGAGAAGTGTATTATCCCACCTAGCTGGCAAATGCTATCATAGTGTAGAAAGCTAGTGGAGCATGGAGAATATGTGCGGACTATATAGATCTCAACAAAGCTAATCTGAAGGATAGTTTTCACTTCCTCATATTAACCAATTAGTTCTTGCTACATCAAAACACCAGATGTTAGGCTTTATAGATGCTTACTCCGAATACAATCAGATAAATAGGGATCCTATAGATGAAGAGGCAACAACTTTTTGAATAGATAAAAGATTATATTATTATTTGATTATATCATTCGGGCTTAAGAATGTTGGAGCCACAAATTAGCATCTCATGAATAAGATTTTCAAAGACCTTATTGGGCATACTATGAAAGTATACATCGATGATATGTTGATAAAAAGTCTTAAAAAATCAAAACATATCTCTAACCCTGAATAATGCTTCCACATTCTATGATGATACGATATGTGAATCAACCTCACTAAGAGTTTTTTTGGAGTTACTTCAAGAAAGTTTTTGGGTTTTATGGTAACTCACCGGAAGATTAAGGCCAATCCCAAAAATAGTAAAACTGAGGACATGTTCTTAAATTATTCTCTTAAAGACTATAGACTTTTTAAATTCTTCTATGGCTTGGGGAGATAATAATTTTGATGTAAACTTGGCCTTTGATATAGAAAACTCTTTCTTAAACAGAAGACTCTAGAATCTCCTATTTTTACTTTCAAGGGCTATTATCTTCTCCTTAAGGATATGTTGATCCTTCACATGCTAATTAATCTTCATCTATGCATCCACCAGTTTAATAGGGATTTGGTCCATCTGTTGATTGTAAAAATAAAAATAAGTTGTTATAGTAGCCAATTCAGCCTGCATTCGGCTAACTATTCTTTCATTACCTTAATATTTTTGATCCCGCTATCATATTTTTGCTTATACTCACCCTGAAGGTATTTGACATTCGCAAATTCATCATTTCAACCATTCAAGGTCTGATTTAACTCAATTTCAAGATCCATGTGTTGTAGTAATTGAAACAATAAAGTGATATTTGTAAGGGAAATATCCTTATAAATATGCAAAAAGGAGAACAAAAAAGAAGTGGATATTCACCAGGTCATCAGCTCATCGACGTCCAACACATTAATGTTTCAAAATATTTTCTAGAATGTGCAACTTGGATGGCGAACAAGTGTGATGTTTGCCAGCACCTACTAAAATATCCTCCATCTTCTTCTTCTTAGACAAAGTCTATGGATCAGAATCAAGTACTAATTATTTAGGAAGAATCTTTGAAGTGTGGATAGAAGCTTCCTAAACTCTAGATGTCTTCTTCAATATAAATGCATGAGACATCCCCGCTTGAGTAGATAATTCAACCTTGATTAAGTATTCATCCTCTACATACTTGCCAAGAGAGCATACCTCATAATGAAAAGTGTCAACACCTGAATATTAAGCATATTCAGGATATCCTATACTCCGACATGAATGGGAATGAGTAAACCTTCAGCTTTTCCCATTTCTCTAAGATATTGCAGTCATTCTATAGGAAGAAAAATCCACTAAACCTGCTCTTTAACAGATCTCAGGAGGAAATATCCAGTCATTTGGACCTGAAAGTGATACGACATTGATTATCACTAGTGAAACAACCCATCTGTGAAAAGCACACTAAAGTCAACACTTCTCCACTATCTCTAAAAAATACAATCAATCACATTATAATAGATATGGCTCTATAAGAGAACTGAGATAAATTCACTCCATATGTCATTGAAATATAAA